TATGGCCCATGGGCTAAGCCCCACCCACTGGTTCTTCTATTTTTTTTAATGGCTGGCAAAGCTCAAAAGAAGAATAATATTTTGTAACAATATAGAATGCTATAACATCAAATTTCGGCATCCCTAAATAAAGTTTCCTGGCATATATTCCCTCTCAGTTTTTACCGTTGGCCTATGGTTGCTTTTGACCTCTAATGGCAGAACTGCAACAGAGACCAAGTGGCCTGCAGAGCCTACAATTACCATCTGGCCCTTTACAGAAAGTTTTCTCATTTCTGGTACAAACTGCATTTTCCTTTTCCACATTGTGTCAGGTTCTTTTCTGCCTTAACATTTTTTTCCCTCTCATTCTTTGTCTTAGAGTAGTGATTGACAAAGCTTTTCTGTAAAGGTGCAAGAATCAAGTCCGACTGGAACCCTGAACACGGCTTAGCAATAGCCACTAGAGCTGAACATAAATATAGGTATCTTAGGTAGTAGACATTGCACCTGTGGCTATTACTCAACAGAAATTCTCTACATATATTCATCAAAAGATAGACACATAAACATTTGTTGCAACATTATTCATAGTAACTACAAATTAGGAAAGACCCAAAAGAACATGAAGAGTAAAAATGTGGTACTATTACTTAAACAATACCATAAATAGCACAATAGTAAAAAAGAACAAACAAACCAGTGTACACAAGTGTGACTCTCACCTACAGAATATTGAACAAAAGAAAGCAGACACAAGAGAGTGCACGTTGTGGGCTCCCATTTATTATCAAGTTCAAAGTCAGATGACTTTAGCAGTCAGGCTGGTAGAATTGCATTTTAGGTTCTCAGGAAACAGAGATCTGTGTGTAGGAAGCTTATTGAGGTGTCATGTGAGGGTTAGCACTTGTGGCGGCATGAAGGATCCTGGGTGGGGTTGAAAGAAAAGGTGCGCTGTGATGAAACCACAGCAAGGGGGCCTCGGCTAGCCTAAAGGGGGTTCTGTTACCTCTCAGTAGGGTGATTCTGGAAGGGTGAAGGGGCCGGAGTCGTGGTTCAGCAGATGGAGCCGCTGCTTGCAATGCTGGCATCCCATATTGAAATGTTGGTTTGAGACCTTGCTGCTCCATTTCTAATCCAACTCTCTGCTAATGCACCTAGGAAAGCAGTGGAAGATGGCCCAAATACTTGGGGCCTTGACACCCACAGGGGAGAACAGGATGAAGGTCCAGCTTCCGGCTTCAGCCTGGTCCAGCCCTGCCCCTGAGGCCATTTGGGGAATGAGCCAAAAGATGGAAGGTCTCTCTCCCTCTCCCCTAGCCCTCTTATTCCCTCCCTCTTTCTCTCCCCCTCTCTCTGCCACTCAGCCTTTCAAATCAATCAATCAATCTTTCAAAGAGAAAGAGAGACAGGAAGAGGGCACCCAGGTAGGGGCTTCTAGAGGTCTTGCAATCTCCTATTTATACAAATGGTGGTTATAAAGGTGCATTGATGTGTAAACATTATTATTTGTGTTTTATGCACTTGTCTACATTTATTCTATGTCAATAGAATACCTTACTAAAGAATGAAAGGAGTGAGTGAAAAGGGGAGAAATGGGAAGTGTAAATGTGGATCACTCTTGTGACGTGAGTATGAGGATAGTGGCACCTGGAAGTGCAAGAAGGGGTCCAGTGAGAACTCTGTTTTGTGTGGAATATAATGGGAAAGATCTGATGAGAAGTATCCACTGGGGAGAAACTGATTGAATACACTAGAAAGATAAGAGCAGGTTGATAGAGGCAGGTGGTGGTGGTTCCTAAGAAGATGGAGGAGAACTGCATTCAAATCATAGGATGTTAGCCTCATGTAGGAGGAGGGCATTTCTAACCTCTGCTTGCACCAACTGTCCAGGCCACTGATCTGCCTCATGTTGTCATGTCTCCATGTATACAAATGATGCTTATCTTTCAGTAAAGTCCTCTTGCTACCATGATTTTGAACCTCTGTGTTCCCAATGATACCTTAGCATGATGCTTTGTACAAATATAGGTATTCACTAAGGGTAGTGGGTGATGACAATGATACTAGAAATTAAAATAAAAAAGGGCATATCCATTTGTTCAGATCTGATTGGAAGGTTAAAGGAAGACAATTGTAAAAAGTTGGATACAGAGTGCCCTCTGAACAAATGCTGGTATTTTCCCACTGTGTAGGGGTTTCCTTGGCTATAGTTTATGCATCTGAAGACGGGATGGACAGATGAGGCCAGTGACTGAAGTGGGATGTCCCAAGGCATGCTACTGAGAGACGATGGAATTCTCTGTTGATCCCTTATCCAAGACTATGGCATAGCCCTGTCTTACCCTTCAAAGCACTTTCCCAATTCAGAGAGAACAAGTCCATAGAGCTGCAGCGACTTGTCCAACATCACACAGCTATTGGCAGCAGTGCAGCTAGCATCCAGACCTCTCTGGCCAGCAGCTCCATAGCCTGTCTGCCTCCGCTGACCCTGTACTCCCTCCAGATGGACGGCACATGCTGAGGTGTGAACATATCAGGCTCGGGAAATTTCAAATGTGTGCTTGATCAATGAACGTGTGGGTTGGGTCTTGGGTGAAAATCCACTTTTCCCTTGGACTTGTCTGCCCAGATGCATTTGTACTAGGATGACAATTTGTAATTACATGGAGTCTTTCAGCCTTGGAGACTTCAAAGACCTCTTCCATTATAAACATGCTAGAGCCTTCTGTTTGGCTTCATAGGTCACTCTGCAGGCCCACATCTCCTGGCAGTGGCTGGCTATTGGACACCTACTGCTGGAGGGTGAGTGGAAAATCAAAAGGAGTGGAAGAAAAATCTTCAGTCAAAACTATACACCACTGCTGGCAGGATTTCCTGTCCCAGGCATGTCCCATCATAACATCCCAAGTAGCAATATTCTACACAGCTTGGTTACAGATTACAATTCCTTTTCGCCTTGTCTTTTCCTTAAGTCCGCAATATTACAATGAAGTGAAAAACGAGAAGGAACTAGTTGATTGTTTTGTCTAGGTTAACTGAATCTAGCAGCATCTCTTGTTTTCTTTGCCCTTTCTTTCCTACTAAGTTGACATTTCTTGTCCTGTTTTGGCGTCTCATTTTGAAATCTGGTAAGGATGAGTTAAGAGAAGGTCCCAACAATGAACGACAACCTGGTACTTCCTGCAGTAAACACCGTTGGTGCTGACCCTCACACCTCACCCCTCCGCCCACTGCTGGCTTCAGCAGCAGCAGAGGCAGGTGGCTTCTGCTGGTGACAGCTTCCTCCCCCCAAGCACCTGCTCCCCTGTTTTCTGTTTCCCTCTGCCTTTCTCTAGCCCCAAGGGAACAGCTCAGCCCTCCCCGAGCAGTGCAGAAGCTCATGGATTTTATATTCCCAGGGGGAATCCTTATCTGTGGATAAGCACCCTGGTTCCTTAACCCTGCTGGGAGCATTCTAACAGGCATTTTAAACGATTCCTTGTGGATCCAGTGCCATTGAGCCTCTGTTTGCTTACACTGGTGATCTGTGGTTTTTCTCTCTTCCCTTCTCACTCTCCTCACCCTCTCAGGCATGCTTCCTGGACTCACCTGCTGAGTAAGCTACCTGCACCTGAGTCCTGGTCTCAGCGTCTGCTTTCGCATGGTCCCTCATGGAGACACCTCCTAGGCCAGTGTTGTTCAAATGATCATGAATTCAGTCATGGGCCCAACCACTTCCAAGCCACTAGAAAATCAGTGAATGCGAGTACGTATCATGAACACTTAATTAATTATATACATGAATGTACACTGGCTCGTGATACAATTTCATTTCTTCCTGTGGGTTGTGGTCAAATTATTTTTACAAGCTTTTTTTTAAAAAAACTATTTATTTATTTATTTGAAAGTCAGAGTTACATAGAGAGAGAAAGAGAATCAGAGAGAGAGAGAGGTCTTCCAGCCGTTGGTTCACTCTCCAGTTGGCTGCAATAGCTGGAGCTGCGCTGATCACAAGTCAGGAGCCAGGAGCTTCCTCCAGGTCTTCCCATGCGGGTGCAGGGGCCCAAGGACTTGGGCCATCTTCTAGTGCTTTCCCAGGTCTTAGCAGAGAGCTGGATCAGAAGTAGAGCAGCCGGGTCTTGAACCAGCACCCATACGGGGTGCTGGCACTGCAGGTGGCAGCTTTATCTGCTACGCCACAGCACCACCCCAGGTCGTAGTTTAAAATGCATCTAAATTTGGAAGTGGTACTGCCCATAGGATAGAGGGTTGGAAAGAGCCCAGGACTGGAGGCAGAGGGCCTGGGTGGCAGCCTCAGTCCTGCTCTGTGGCATGTGGCAGCTCGTGTGTCCCAGGCCACCTTTTCCACACATTGAAAATGGGAGGCTCTCATGGGCTCTGGTGCTCTGCTTCTGTGGTCCATTTCTGACGTGTTGGCAGATGGGTGTTCCCTCTGAGACTGCTGCCTTCAAATGCCACCTGTGTGCAAGGTTCAGGTTATGGGCAAGCTATGTCATCAGGCACAGATGGAGAGTGGGCGGAAGACCCCTCGCAGGAGCGCTCATCCTTGTACTGGCCAGGGAGGAAGTCACACCAGGGTCCTTGCGGGTAGCTTATTCCCTGTGGCCTCAAGGGGACCGGTTCAGAGCTGGGGAGCGACCCCCCAGGAGGGCAGTGGGTAAGGGGTGTAGAGACCCAGGAGGTGGAGCCCCATATCCTTGGCACAATGGAGCTGCCTTGGAAGGAACGAGACAGGATGGAGAACGGTCCTGCGGGGGACACAGAGGACGTGGTTACTTGGATGCTGAAGGAAGATTTTTCTTTCCAAAAATCACAATGATCCCTGAGGTTGGAGCCTTGGGGAAACGTGTTCCACCACGTTTCCAGCGCCCCTCGCTGCGCTGCGCATGCGTGCTGCGGTGGCACCCCGCCTTCCACACCTCGTTTCCCTGAGCTGGGACACCCTGGAGTCCTTTCCCCCTCTCTTCATTTCATGGTCTCTCTCCTCACATCTGTTCAAAACCCAGCCATGCGGGCACTGTTTTTGCTCCCCCTGCTCTGTGCGTGATTGCCGCCGTCGGCAATTTACTCTCCAGGGGAACTAGGAGACCCTTTTAGCCATGTCTGTAGAGACAATTTTTAAAGAACAGGGTGTCTTAAATCTTTCTCTCCAGGACAGCACATAAGATATGGTTTCAAACAAGAAACATATATAAGGGAGGGAAAATCATAAAAATCATAAATGTGCCAGGGCTGGCATTGTGGCAGAGCAGATAAAGCCACTGCCTGCGATGCCAGCATCCCATATGGGTGCTGGTTCGAGTCTTAGCTGCTCCATTTCTGATCTGGGAAAGCCGTGAAAAATGGCTTGGACCCCTGCCCCCACAAGGGAGACCCAGAAGAAGCTCCAGGCTCCTGGCTTCAGCCTGGCACAGCCCCGGCCATGGCAGCCATTTGGGGAGTGAACCAGTGGATGAAAGGTGTGTGTGTGTGTGTGTGTGTGTGTGTCCTCTCTCTATAACTGTCTTTCAAATAAATAAAAAATAAATCTCTAAAAAACCTGAATGTGCCAATAGGGGACATCAGGATGACCTTATGAGACTTGAAAAAGGCAGCGATAGGGTAATGACAGTAGCCACCATCCACTGAGTATTATCATATGCGATGCGCCCCATGAGTGCGTCCCACCTTCTGACATAGCTAACTTTAAAGCCTGCAGACTGGATGCTGTTTGCATCCTTATTTTGCAGCTGATCCTGGAACAGAGAGGTTGAGAAACTTGCCCAAGGTGCCAGAGCTGCCAAGCAGCAAAGGTAAGCCCAGGGAGCCTGACATCAGAGTCTGTGCTTTTTTTTTTTTTTTTTCTTGACAGGTAGAGTTTTAGACAGTGAGAGAGAGATACAGAGAGAATAGTCTTGCTTCCGTTGGTTCACCACCCAAATGGCCACCGCGGCCGGCGCTGTGCCCATCTGAAGCCAGGAGCCAGGTGCTTCTCCTGGTCTCCCATGCAGGTGCAGGGGCCCAAGCACTTGGGCCATCCTCCACTGCACTCCCAGGCCACAGCAGAGAGCTGGACTGGAACAGGGGCAGCCGGGACTAGAACCCGGCGCCCCTATGGGATGCCGGCGCCGCAGGCGGAGGATTAACCAGTGAGCCACGGCACCGGCCCAGATTCTGTGCTCTTTAAAGAAATATATATCATGTTTATTTGAAAGGTAGAGTTACACAGAGAGAGGGAGAGACACACACAGAGATTTTCCAGCTGCTGGCTCACTTCCCACATGGCCGCAATGACTGGAGCTGGGCCAGGCTGAAGTCAGGAGCCAGGAGCTTCATCTGGGTCTCCCACATTGGAGGCAGGGGCCCAAGCACTAGGGCCATTTTCAGCTGCTTTCCCAAATTGGATCTGACACAGAGCAGTGGGGACTTGAACCAGAACCCATGTGGGATGGTGGCATCACAGGCAGCAGCTTAACCTGCTGCATCTGTGCTGTTAACTGGGACTCCCAAGCCTGTGGGGCTGGGCAGATTGGGGAAAACTTGGAGGGGAAGGGGAGCATTAGGAGTTGCTCTTGGAGGGGTAGGTAGGAGTTGGGTGATGGGAACAGGGGGCAGGCCCGTTACGTGGAGGTGCTGGTATCTGCTGAAGTGCACCCATCTCTCACAGTCCTAGGCTCATGGTAAAGGCTCCATCTCTATTTGAGAAGGATAAATAAGGATAGAAAAATCAAATCTCACAGAAAGACAAAATACTGCATCTTCTGTTACATGCGGGAATTAAAATAAAAAATGAAACAAAAAAGATCGAAAGCCAAAAACCAAAACAGAAATGCATATTTGTGTCAGTATTGCTGCACATATGGTTTTATCTCTCTGTTAAACAAATGGTTAAGAAGGACATACTACTATATTTTAATGATCTGTGATTAGTTTTAAAATGTACTGTTTATGAGTGAAACTGACATCTTTTCATTCGATTACTATTGAGAAAAGCCTGCTGAACCATGGTCTTTTTACATTTTACTTGTTGAACTCTATTTAGTGGCTCAGTAAGCTTTTGACTGTGATGTAAATTAAAAATATGTATATCTAAACATTTTTAAAGAAAGAGTGAGGAAAGGAGGGGAGAGGGAGGGAGGAAGGAAAGTCTTGTTATATTCTTAGAATTGCACCTATGAACCACATTAAATCTGTTCTCTTTTTATTAAATTAATTAATTAATTTTTAAAAAGGAAAGAAACCCAGTGGTGCTTTTCATTTGATTTTCTCGGTTTTTCCTTTTTTCTTCCCTTTTTTTTTTTTTCCAGGGTGCTCAGCGTTTGGGAAGATTTAGCCATGGGGCAAGAAAGAAGGATTTATTCTAGGATCACAGGACTTCCCTCTTTGGATCTACTTCCCGTGGAAATCCCCGTAAAGATCGTATCTTGTCTCCGTCTGCTGAGGCATAAAGAAAAATGCCATGAAAGGAGAGCAGAGGAGAGGTTTGGAAAACACGGAAGATGCTTGCACGCAGAGGATCTCGTGCGGCTAAAGGAAGACTTTCATCTCTCCCTTTCATTTCTCCGGGGAGGGTTAGCTGCTCCCAGCTTTCAAATCCCCCTTCAGCGACTGGGTTGCAGCAACTGGCAAAACTGCTTTCATGGTCTCGGAAGCGTCCCTGGAGCTCCGAGAGGCCAATTCCTGCAAAGGAGCCCTACCAATCCAAAGGCAGTCCCACGCTGCAGAGCGCGAGCAGGCAGTGAGAGTGCCGGCCTGGGAGGAATGCTGCGGCATCCCAGGTGCACTTTACAAGGGCAAAGTCCGACCCCGTCTCAGATATCAAAGTCGTGCTCCATGCAGCATGGCCCTTAAAAAATTTATGTTGTGTTTATCAGCTCGGGCAGGTTCAGCGCCGGGGCCACCGCTTGGCTAATTACTCCTGCGCGGCTGCCCTTGCTCCCTCCCTTCCGGTCGCTGCAGCCAGGCCTTAGGATCCTGATTGTCCCAGGCTGTTCCTTGGACATTTATGTGTTTTTCTGAACTGGAAGTGTCCCACCGTGTAGCTGCCTCGCTCCTCGGGCTGGAGTAAGAGCTGTTTTGTAAGCGCCTCGTCCTCCACATCTCCTGTGCTGGGGAGGAGCGGGGGACCCTCTCTGCTGTCCAGCAATGAGGATGAACACCCAGCTCCACCGGCGAGGCGAGTTGTCCTCCTTTGTGTGGTCTCTCGTGTCTTTTATTTTACACAGAACACATCTTTATTCAATCCTCAAGTTTAACAGAAGTGACCCCCTCACACACTCCAGGTTCACATGACAACAGAAAGGGTCTTTCAATAAACTAAGAGTAAAGATCTGGGTTCACGGGGTGGGCCTAGGACCCACCCAGCTTTGCCGGCCCAGTGACCAGTGGCCAGTGGCCAGTGGCCAGTGGCCGTGCCTTGCAGGAAAGCATCAGGGTCCTGCCCAGTACAGGAGGAGAAGAGAGGCGCTGGGGCTGCTTCCTGGGACTTGGCAAATCTCCCTGCCCTGCACGGCAGTTGTCGGTGGCACTGGGGCCCTGCTTTCTGCTTGGGTGACATGGCTCTTCCAGACCACCTCACAGCACACAGGTTAAGTGCAGCAAACCCAGACACAGCCTCGCCCTGCTAACTGCCAACCAGTGACTTCAGCATTTATGGTCAAACCATCATCCTACCCGTGGAAACCTCTGCTCCCTGCCAAGGCTCATTTCATTTTCCTTCTTTCTTATGCAGATGAGCAGTGGTGGAAAATGTATTCTCCTCACCAGAGTCACCTCCCGGGGCTGCCTGCGTTCTGGAAAACTTGAGCTGAAGTTCGGGTCCGGTCACCTGGTCTGTTTTTCTCTTCCAACTCACTTTTAACAAGGATAGCCTTTACTTTTATTTTCCTCTTTATTCTATTTTAAAATGTACATTACGCAAACATTCCAAAAACACTAAGGAAATTCTAAGTAAAAGGCAAGAAAACAAATCCACAATTCCATTAGTAAAACAAACCAAGCTGTTTTCAGGCTTTGTCACCGACTCAGAGCGACGCAAACACGTAGCTTTGCCAGCATAACGATGGCAGATACACATCCTGGCAAGCGCTGTGTTCTAACTGCACATTCTATAGTAAGCTTTTTTTTTCCATGTCACCACATAGAATTTACATTCGTCTTTTTATTCTCTGCTTATCCAGCCCATTGGGTAAATATAATTGATTTAACCGTGTTCCTACACTAGTTCAGCACAAATGGCTTCCAGCTTCTTGTTATCATATAAAAACACCACTGCTTTTTTCCTTTGGCTCATTGCCTCATGGTAACTTTCTAAGAGACCCCCCTCTATTTTTGCTTTAAACACAGAGAGGTGAACCCTATTTGCTTTTACAATGTCTTCCTTGGTGGGAGTCCCAGCGGGAACCTTCTCTCCAGGTGTCTGGGGCTGTGGGAGATGGACGGGTGGAGGAGGGGCCGGCCTTCATAAGGAAGTGGAGAAAACTCACTGCACAGTTAATTAGAAAGGGCCATGAAGCAAGTCCCTACTTTATGGCTTTCCGAGAATTGATGACGGTTTTTCTAACCAGGCCCGCCTGTTCTCCCGCAGGTGTGTGCAGCTTGCTAGACCATATGGTTTTTGGCTGTCCAAGGCCCCTTGCTTGAATCAATCCACGATCCTGTAACTGAATATCAGTTAATAACTTTTCATAACAATGTAGCTTGGATCAGCTTGTAGGTCCGGCCAGAGCCCCTGTACAAAGCGCTGTCTTTTTTCAGGCTCCTGCTGCCTCTTTGGCACACCTGGGGAGCTGCAGCCCCACGGCCGTCCCCAGGGCCATAGCAATATTCTAGGCTCACAGAGGGCCAGCTGCAGGTTCAGCAAGTGAGGAGGCCTGGGCACATGCTTGTTCTTCAGCTGTAATTTGTCTCTCTTGAGATCTGCCAGGAGGGCTGGGGTCCTGTGACTTAAATAAAAAAAAGAGCAAGAGCTTTTGACCACAAAATATTGTAGGGTGATTTTCAGCACGCAGGCAAAATCTGACTTAGTGTGAACTGATCTACACGCATCCCTGAGAGGCTTGGGGGTCGTGTGGGATCTTGAGAATGGCTGGGCCAGCCCTGTGACCAAAGGAATTCTCTACCTCCCTATCACCTGTGGGATTTCTTCCTCTTCTACACCCCCACTGCCCCCATCTCCTGCCCAAAGAGGTTCTGCTGTCTTTCCCTCTTGTCCCCTCTCCCTGATGGCAGTGCCTGAGGGAATGGATGGGAGGGAGTGATTCCAGGCTGCTACCAGTCTTCTGCATCCATGTGAACTTGTTCTTGTGCTGGAGTGGCCGTGAGCCCCAGGGAGCTGGGCATCCCTTTAGCCCCACTGTAATCTCTGATCATCAGAAACCCTTCTAAGCCATACTCGTGCTTGGGTCTCTGCAGTCGTATTGCCTTGAAATTATTCAGCTGAGAATTAGAAATGTCCTTGATCATTAAGATAAACAGTTATTGGCAAATGTCTTCAGAGCTTGTACTTGGATCTTCATGTATGGCAAGATCCCTACCATTTGATGTGCAATTGGCAGGGAGAAGGAGGAGGGGAGATTTCCACGAGCCCATGAGTATGTCTTTCCTGGTGATACCAAGCACAAAGATATCCCACCTGCCAGGCAGCGGGTGAAGGGCAGCAAGCAGCTTTTCAACTTGGCAGCCAATGGAAAGGGAGAGATGGAGCTAGGAGACGCAGGAGAGAAATGGGCAGGTGGCATCGTTAAACTATGAACAGGAACAGCCAGACAGGAAGCGAGTCAGGGCACAGAGATGTCCTGGAGTTTGTCTTGGCAGGAGGTCCTAACCCCTGCAATGTCCTCATCCCAGCTGGACCCAGGCCGACCAGATCTCCCTGCACCCTGGCCTCGGAGGCAACGGAACCCAAGGAGAGGGTATGGATTTGTCATCTTCACTCAAGCTGTATCCCAGCATCCACCACAGAGCCTGGCCATGCTCAATCGATATGTATTGGATATTAAAAGCTGGTGTTTATTTGTAGTGACTTAGGGGCCATGCTAACCACTTGACTTGTGTTATATCATTTAATCTGTATAATAACCCTAGAAGTGAGAATAGATTATTATCCCCATTTTTAGATCTGAAGTGGAGGCACAGTGAGATCAGATGCTCTGCCCAAGTCTTCACTGCTAGCGAGAGGAGAGCTGGGACTAGAACCGAGGCCCAGGCCTGGCCTCTGCTTAGCATCCCTGCTATCACTTGGCCGTGACCCAGGTGCCTGCCATTTTTGTTCTAAGAGCCAGCCTCAGGAACATCACAGATCACACCCTCAGAGCCTGATCCCGGGGCATGGCGCTGCCCTTCTGGGAAGATATCTTCACCCCAAAATGAAGCTGAGGAAAATCCGACTGAAGCCTAAGCCAAATGGATCAAAACTGGAGCACTATTTGGGGTTCTCGATATTTCTAAACTCTATCCTCTTAAATGGAGCTCCCAAGAAATAATGCCTGAAGGGAACCTCAATTAAATTCTATGCTGATTCTTACGACATCCGCCCTCCACTTCTGCCTCCTTCCCTCTCCTTGAGTTTGTTCAAGAGCAACAGATTCTGGCTAAGGTCCGGGCATGGCGGGGAAGCGGTCCAACCATCTGCTGATCACTTCTGAATGATCTGGCCGACTTTGCGGCACATCTTCCTCCAGTTTGCCCCTTGGATCCTATGAGTGGGGATCAGATCCTTGGGGAGGCTCTGGACCCAGCCATCATAGTTGCCTTGGTTACCTTCTAGCAGGGATCCAGGGGAGACCCAGAACTAACCAAGATTCTTGTGAATTGGGAGAAGTTCACAGGCAAAAGTCAGAGTGAGATAATCACCTGCTTTGCTCCTTTTCTCTCCAGGTCAAGTGCATCCATCTTCTGCTGTCTGCTGTGGGTCAGGAGGAGGGAGACATCCTGGAGAAACCACTAACAAGGAATTGCTTAATGCAAGTGCCTTGCCAGACACATTAGCAGGGAAGGGTGGCTCAGTCTTCAGACATATTTATGGCAGGATGTGAGGGGGAGTGCCTCTAAAAGTGTGTGTGGCGTGGGGAGTATTAATTCTACAAGGCACTCAGCCTTTGCACACTGGAAAGAGGCAGCCTTTCGCTCACTAAGCAACACAGCCCTGGCCATGGCAACTTCCTGGCAATGCAGTTTCTCTCTTAACACCCACATGCCTCAAACTTTGTCTTCATTCTATTTAACAAATGTGTGTGCATGTTGCTCAGTCCCTGAGTTAAACTCTGGCTTAAAAATGTGGGGAGTGTCTTTAGTTTAGGTTGCATACAGTAGGGTCTTACAATGAGCAGAGTGTTCAGCCATGTCTGATGTGGCATGTGTGTAGCATGGGTGCTGTGGAGCAGTGATGACAGTGCTGTATATGTGTATGGAGTAGGTATGATTTGTGGCGTAGGTGTGACATGATGGCAGGGATGGTATTAAGGTGGTGGCAATGGTGACACACGTGTGTGCTTGTGTGTGTGTGGTGTGATGGTGCATATTTTTTCTATTTTACACAGTGAGGCAGCACTTGATGGTAGACAGCAAAACATCCCTCACTCTGCTGCTCCTGGTATACCTCTGCAGCACAGGTAAAGTCAAGCAGACGTGCCAAGTTGGGCGGAGAAAACGTTAGTTCACAGGTTCTCAGGACTCATCGGTAGGGGAATGATGAGTGGTCACCCTTGGTTGCTTGTCTTACACAAGAAGTGAGTGAGGAGTCTTTGTTAGGGGCTGGCCCCATATCTGAACCTGTGCTTCCCAGGGTCCTCTATGGTAGACTGTGGCATTTTTTGCTCTGGTGCTACCCATCACCTCCAACTGGCATTCCTAGCACTGGGCTGAGGCTGACACGTTCTGGGCCCACTGGGGCAATAAGGGCGGTTAGCACTGACCTTCCCCAAGCAAGGTGACGTTGTAAAGATGGCAAACACTAGAAAGAACCCATCATTCCTACCCTGTTAGTGGCGCCCAACCTTCCTCTGTCCAGCTCACAGCCTAGACCCAAAAACCCTGTTTTGCTAGATTCTCAACTCTTCAATTTCCCCCTATTTGCTGGCATTTTTCAAAAATTGTGTTCAGTTTGCATAAATGTCCAGAACAGGAAAAGATTTTTACTTTTTGATGATTTATTTTTTTAACCATCCACATTATCAAGTTACCTTATTTCTTCTAATTATTTGTTAGGATTTGGAGCCTGAAAAAATATCTTCTTTGTCAGGATTTGACTGTTTCACCTTGTGAGATTTTATATTACAGGAAATTCTGATCATCTAATTTTGTCCATTTTTAATGTAATTTTAAAAACCAAAACATTTGTCAGTCTCTAAATTCTAAGTTTAATTTGAAATTTTATGACTTCATCAGAGGATGTCATGTGTGGATTTTTGTTCCCCAAATAATTTGCATACCTTTAATTGGAATTCTCTAGATTTTTTTGGTCAGGGATGTTATTGCTGTTCTTTTCTGGGAAATAATGTTTTACCGGATTGATTCTCTATGTTTCTTACCAGTTGGCTCATTGCATAATTCTCTTTAGTTTTCTAGTGAGTAATGAAAAATGTTTGTCTTTTTTTAATCTCTGTAACCTCAAGTGTACCTTTAGTCACTATTTCTTTCTAACATGAAAGCAATATTTAGTAGTTTCAGAGTCCATCTTCTTAGATCTCTAACATCTACAGAGCTCAAATTTTTTGTTTTCCTTGTTTCTCGGGGGCCAAAAAGTTATACAAGGAGACTTTAAAACCATTGTGGAAAAGCAAAATAAAAAATAAGTTGATTTGGGTGCAAAAAATTTTTTGAAATTTATATAACATTTTTTTCAAGACATATTTTCCGTGAACTTTCAAAGTATTTATTCTGAATCTCAAAATGGTCCTTTGTTTTGAGTAATTTTTGTCTTTTAAAAAATCTACTTATTTTATTTGAAAGGCAGGAGGCAAAGAGACAGAGCAACATCTCCTGTCTGTGGGTTCACTCTCCAAATGCCTGAAGTAGCCGGGGCTGGGCCAAGCTGAAGCCAGGATCCAGGAACTCAATCCAGGTCTCCCATGTGGATGGCAGGAACCCAAGTACTCAAGCCATCAAGGTGCACACAGTAGGAAGCTGGAATCAGGAAAAGAACTAGAACTGGAACCCAGGTCATGTCGATATGAGATGCAGACATCTCAAACAGGGACTCAACTACTGTGCCAAGTGCTGGTCCCAGTTTTATCTTTCCTATGTCTGATGATCTCCCCTTTTCTCCTTTCTCCCTTCTCCCTTTCCTTTGTGATTTAGTGTTACAGGATGAATATAATTTCATAGATTCCTTTCTTCCTTCTCAACTACAGAGAAATGTCTATACATGTCCAATGTCCGTTGTGAAGGTAGATTATATCAAAGTTCATGAAGATATTTGTCCCAAACTTTAATTTCTAGATAAAGGGAGATGCTCAACATACATAAGTATATGTGCTATATATATGATATAGATAGGATGTATATTTAGGCTACTTCAATTAAACTGAGGGTTCCCATTGTCCATGAAGCACAGGAGGTCAAGATCAGCAGGAACCTTGAGGCAAGGAAGTTACTCCTTAAGAAGCATTGCCTTGTGCACCTGCCGTGGCAACTTGCAGTCAGCTCTTCTTGTTTCCTGGGTGAGGGCAGCACTGTCTTTCACAGTTGGCTGGCTCTCCAGTCGGCATGAAGTGGCTTTGTGGGATGATCCCCTGGGGAGCTGCCCCACATGTGGGGTTTTCCCAGACCTATTGGACTTACAGTCTGCCTGCCTTCAAGACCCCATCCCACTGACCTAGAGGTTGTATTTCAGTGTTGTTAGTGGTGACAGTCACTTCCTCTTAGTTGTATTTTCTCTGTCACACGCTTGAAAGATTGTATTTTCAAAATGGTTGTATGTCATCCTCTCCCAGAAGTTTGTAGCCCGGGATCTGGCCTTTGAGAACAGAATGCAGTGGAAGTAACACTACGTGACACCCTTGCCAGAACATAAAAGGCAATATGGCTTCCGTCTGGTTATCCCTGTCTGTCTCTCCTCTCTCCTGTCTCCTCTCCACCTCTCTCTTTTCTGGATACATGGATCTCATGAGCCTGAGCTGCCCTCTAGTTCCTGTGCTGGAAAAACCTCATGGGGAGATCACACAGAGACAGAGAGAGATGTTCTCTGTCCAGGGTCTTCCCGGCACAAACACCGGATGAGTGAATGAACCATCAGACAAGCTGGTACCTCAGCCTTTCAGCTGTTTCTGACATCTTATTTTCATTCTTTTCTTATTTTATTTCATTCTTATTTTGATTTCTTTCTTGTCATTTCATCAGGGTTATGACTGATGAGAAGACAAAAATTTGGCCACAAATTACTACCTTGAGGGCAAGCCTTGTGGCACACTGGGTTAAGCCACTACTTAGGGTGCCCACATTTCATATTGGAGTGCCTGGCCTGAGTCCTCACTACTCTACTTCTAATCCAGCTTCCTGATGGAGTCCCCGGCTCTTGGCTCTGCCTGGCCTAGTCCCAGCTATTACAGGCATTTGGGGAGTGAACCAGCAGATGTGAAATCAGTCTCCCTTTCTGTCTCTGTCTCTGTGTCACTCAGCCCTTCAAATAATTGTCTTTTGTAAAAAAATTGCCACCTCAGACTGAAACTTGTGGTTTAGTTTCCAATTGAGACACTGTGCTATTTCCATCAGACACCATCCTTTATCTACACATCTGTGTCAATCGGTTTGTCAGATTAGCTGTTGTCATTGAGTTACGCCACCCTTGGCTGGGCTCTCCCTCTGGCCCTGCCTGCATGTACACACGGTATTAATTTATAGTTTAGGGGGATTTCTAGGTGTTCATCTGCTTGATCCATAAGACAAGCTACTTCCAAATGTTGTCAATCTATTGAGGCAGCTTGCCACAAAATAACCAGAGAGTGTTGTGTAAAGGAAAGCAAAGATAGCAATAGTTTCCTAATTCATGTGGAATCAACAACTCTAAGATCACCAGAATCTATAAACACAATGTCAGAACCAAGATTGAAGCTCCTAAAGAGTTAGAGTTTTACAAAGTGGGAACTGTTTTGTGACTATCTTCCATCTGAGTTGACAGATGATAATAAGAGTTTAAAATATTTCTGAAATTGCTCCATGTTTGTGAGTGATTTTCATTGCCATCCCACTTGACTGGTGTCAGAAGTGAAACCTGAAACATTTTTTTTTCCATCCTGACCAGCACCTTTTCCAGGCATTCTCTCTTTCAGCGAAATATCTGATTGGGAGGCAGATTGTTTAGTCTTTGGAGAAAATCAGCTCTCAAGAGGAGGGATGGGTGAGGAAGAGAACTGCCTGGCAGGATAGAGAGGGCACACAGATCTGAGGCTCAACTTGGACTAAATCTTGGTACCGGCACTTCCAGGTTTGTGGTCTCGGGTCAGTTACCATCTTGGAATGTCAGTCTCTTCATATGGGACATTGACGTGGTGCCGTGCCAATTTGCTGGCGATGCCATAGGAAACTACCATGGCTATGTGGCTTAAACAACCAAAATTTATTTTCTCACAGTCCTTGGGGTTAGGGGGCCAAGGCCAAAGTGCCCTGAGCCCTGAGCTTGCCCTGAGCGTCTCTCCTTGGCTTACAGATGACGTCTTCCACGTGTCTTCTCATGGCCTTCCCTCTCTGTGTGTCCTTGTGACCATTTCCTCTTCTTACAAGAACGCCAGTCGTACTGGATTAGGGATCACTTCAGGATTTCATTTTAATTGAAAGACCATATGTCTAAGTGTAGTCACATTCTGAGGGGTTGGGATGTGGGACTTCAATAGGAACTTTGTTAGGGACAGGATTCAGTCCATGACAGACACCTGTCCTAAAGCAAAGTTCTGAAATGTTGGAGATAAAGTGCCAAGCACACAATAAAGATGCTAAAAATGTTGGTTCTCTTTCTGCCTTCCCTTGGTTCCAGATTTATTTGTCCTTAGTGGTAAAAGAGAATGTATTTTTTTTTTTTTAATTTATTTGCTTGAAAGTCATAGTTATACACAGAGAGAAGGAGAGGCAGAGAGAAAGAGAGAGAGAGAGAGAGAGAGAGAGAGAGAGATCTTCCATCCGCTGGTTCACTCTCCAGGTGGCCACAATGGCTGGAGCTGTGCCAATCCCAAGCCAGGATCCAGGAGCTTCCTCCAAGTCTCCTACACAGGTGCAGGGGCCCAAGGACTTGGGCCATCCTCTACTGCCTTCCCAGGCCACAGCAGAGAGTTGGATCAGAAGTGGAGCAGCCAGGACTCGAACTGGTGCTCATATGGTATGCTGGCACTGCAAGTGGCGGCCTTCCCCCTACACCAGAGCACCATCCCCCCACCCCGCCCTTTATTTATTTACTTGAAAGAGTTACACACAGAGAGAAGGAGAGGCACAGAGAGAGAGGAGAATATATTTTCTTTATTAGCAATTTACCTTCCTCCTTTTACAAAAAAAATATATTTGAGAAATCGCAGGAATATGATCAACCTTTTTTTTAAGATTTATTTATGTATTTAAAATTCAGAGTTACATAGACAGAGGAAGAGACAGGTAGAGAGAGAGAGAGAAAGAGAGAGAGAGAGAGAATCTTTCATCTGTTGGTTCATACTCCAAATCGCCGCAACAGCCAGGGCTGAGCCAGGCCCAAGACAGGATGCAGGAGCTTCCTCCAGATCTCCCATGTGGGAGTAGGGGCCCAAGCACTTGAGCCATTTTCCTCTGTTTCCCAGGCACATTAGCAGGGAGCCAGACAGGAAATGGAGCAACTGGGTCTTGAACCAGCGCCATATGGAGTGCCGGCATCGCACATGGCAGCTTTACCTACTAGACCACAATGCCAGCCCCAGATGTTCTTTCTTATATTTCCCCTTTTCAAAGACCCTAAGTCACTGGCCTCGAAAGGAATTGCTACATTTTTACTCCTGTTTTCTAGAATTCAGATATGATGACTTGGACTGCATCAGCCACACAGAGTCCAAAAGATGATCTTGAGAGGGGTGGGCATTGTGGTGCAATGGATTGAGGCACTGCTTGGGATGTGCGTATTCCATATTGGAGTGCCTGGAATCAAGTCCCATTTTGGCCTCCACTTCCAATCCAGCTAATTTCTGCTAATGTTCTAGGGAGGTGGCCAATGTGACTAAAGGACTGAGTCTCTGCCACACACGTGGGAGGCCCAGGTAGAATTCCTGGCTCCTGGCTTTTGCTTGGCACAGCCCCAGCTACTGTGGCAATTTTGCAAATGAAACAGTGAATAGAAGATCTCTCCTGATCTCTATCAGTTGCTCAAATAAAATAAAAAAAAAAAAAAAAACACTAATGAAAAAAGAGATGACCTTGAGGTTGAAAATAAAGATAGAGGAGAGAAAATATAGGAGACACCCAGAAAACGGATGTTGCTGTATAGAGGCCAGCTACCTACTCAAGGCATCACGTTACATGAGAGAAAAAAAGTCTTTATTTATGCCCTTGTTATTTTAATCAAAAGTACTTCCTAACTAATGTGGAATTTGAGTTTAGTTGACAAGTTTAAGGTACATGTTAATAAACGAACTTAATGTATTTAAAAAATAAACTGACTTCATGCCTTTGAAGCTTACATCCAGTGTCTTGTGATTGACTACAGTGAAAGTCCCAATGGGTGGACACAAATTGGTGTTCCAGAAAGTAAGAAAGGGACTATTGGACAGAACCGTAGTGAGCACGGAAGCAGTTGCTATGTGAGAAAGTCAGATCACCAGTCAGAAGATGGAGCATGCATTGGCTAGTCACCAGCTGAACAGATCTGGAAAATATTCTGAGTGAAATGGACATGCACGTTCCAATTCCCATTTAAAATGTCTGATGCTGCTTAAAGAAAGGAGAGTAGTGACAAAGACAAGTATAGAGGCAGAGAGACCATTTAGGAGGCATTGACTTACTTAAGGCAGGAGAAGCGTTGACTTGGACCAAAGTGATGGCAATGACAGTGAAGAAACTGGTCAAATATATGAACTTATTTTGGATACAGTACCCAGCAAGACTTCCAGTTTATTTGGATGTGAGGTTAGGCAGTGGTAAGAGTCAAGGATGATATGTAATTATCTCATTTTAAAACTGTCTGTGAGGGTGGTGCAATGTAAGAAGAGGTGGCTAGAAGGAGATCCTTGTATTTAAGAGACAGGGAGAGGCCGGCGCCGTGGCTCAATCGACTAATCCTCTGCCTAGCGGCACTGGCACACTGGGTTCTAGTCCCGGTCGGGGCGCCGGATTCTGTCCTGGTTGCCCCTCTTCCAGGCCAGCTCTCTGCTGTGGCCCAGGAGTGCAGTGGAGGATGGTCCAAGTCCTTGGGCCCTGCACCCCATGGGAGACCAGGAGAAGCACCTGGCTCCTGCCATTGGATCAGCGCAGGTGCGCCGGCCGCAGCGCGCCAGCCGTGGCGGCCATTGGAGGGTGAACCAACGGGAAAAGGAAGACCTTTCTCTCTGTCTCTCTCTCTCACTGTCCATTCTGCCTGTCAAAAAAAAAAAAAAAAAAAAAAAAAAGAGACAGGGAGATAGGATTAAGAGGTCTCTGTGGATGCTTAAAGTTTGAGATGCCTGAAACATGAGGGGACTTTGAAAGGCTTGTGGGAAAGTGGAATTAAAAGATAACCTTATCTTGGTGCTTGGAAATTGAAATCTCTAAATTTTTTTTCATAACATACATTTTCCTGGACTTGTAGACTTCTCATCTAAGTGTCAATATTGGGTAAGCAGTTGGCTATATGAGTCAAGGCTGAGAGATTCAAGCCTGAGATGCAAATGTAGAAATCATTGGTGCAAGACGGCATCAAAACCATAGGAGTGAATGAGAACACTGAAGGAAATAAATATGGACAAAAACGACATTCTGAAGTGGAGCCTGAAGTGCTTGTTTCTTTAAAAGTTGGGCTGAGAAGGAAGATGTGGTAAGTAGTCCCTTAAGGAGTGGCCACTGAGATAAGAGGAAAACCTGCTGAGTCCCAGAAGCCAAGGGAAAGAAACAAGAAGGGAGGGGTTGACTGTGCAACATGGGTGCAGGTTTAAGGACAGGAGAGTAGAGTGGTCACTGGGTTTGGCAAGAGGGGGGTTTTCTCTGATGGAGGCTCGGGTTGGTGAAGAAGTAAAGGGAGAAAGTGGAGACAATTCTCCTGAGTTTCCTTATAAGGGGAAGCAGAGGAGTGGAGTGGTAGTTAGACTGAAATATAGGCTCTAAAAAGGACTGAAACATTTAGGAGATTCCAAGTGTGTGTGTATCCAGTAGAGAGAGGAGAGAGAGAACGAGAGATGTTATACAAGATAAAGAGAATAACCGATCTCATGAAATCCCCAAGAAGATACAGAGCACAAGGGGGACTCTGATGGGAGAAGGAACAACTTAGCTTTGTGTTTTCATTCTATTGCCAATGATGCTATAAAGATTGCCTCAATATTTATATCAATTTGTTTGCACACTTCTAGGAAAAGATCGCCATGATCAAGGTCACGCACATTTTTTAAAGGTTTTCCACACAGTTGTAAATCTGCATCCAGATGTATCAGGTCAATTAATGGGAACTCATCTTTTTTAAAAAAAATTGACTTATTTGAAAGGCAGAATGAGACAGAGAGAGAGAGAGAGAAAGAGAAAGAGAGAGAGAAAGGTAGAGAGAGAGAGGAATCCTCCACTGATTCACTTCCCAAATAGCTGCAACAGGCTACTGTCTGTAGCCCGGAGCCAGGAACTCCATCCTGGTCTTCCACATCCTGGTCTCCCTGGACAGGAATCCAAGAACTTGGGCCATCTTCTACTGCCTTCCCAGGCACATCAGCAAAAAGCTGGATCCTAAGCAGAGCAGCTGGGATTCAAACTGGCACTCCAGTATGGGATGCTGGTGTCACAAGTGGTGGCTTAACCTGCTGTGCCACAGTGCCCACCTCAGGATAATCTCATTTGTACCTTACATTCTCTGATAAACCTTCACTTTATCATCACGGTGATTTTTCTTTTGTAAGTGGCCAGTTATTATTCTGTTCTTTTGCTTCTCTTTTGACCTGGAACATTGGTGATCTCTACACTATGTGCATATAAGCTTTTATGTATTAATAGTTGTTGCCTTTGTCACATTTGGGATACACCCATTTCACAGTTCTCTTTAACAGTTTTCCTTGTAGTTTCCATTTTTTTACATCTGTACAAGTTCCCATGAGGGTTTACACTTTTTCCATTTTTTTACTCATTTTTCCTTTGTGATTCCTTCTGTTGATTTTATCCTTAAAAAGTATTTGTTTTCTCCCAAGAAACAATGCTTACAAAGTGATTTTGAAAGGATGAGATGCTGTGGTCTGGTTTGCCCTGCACCTCAGTACTGTGAACATCCAGCTCTGAAATGGAGCAGTCCACCCAGCCCCAGGAAATGAAACATTCCCAGCGAAATTGCATCAGATTTCATGTCTGCTAAGCAGCAAACAACAAGACTCAACTAATCTACATCAAAACAATTGGCCGTAGAAACCTTCACAAATGAAACTTTTGTAATTTCAGAAGCTAAGCCAAGTAACAACCAACCCACATCATAAAGCCCCAAATGCTGCATCAAGTTACCAATTTTCCATGTAAGCTTGCTTTTCCAGTTGTTCGTCTGGTGACATAGTCCTTTGTTTCATCCAGAGAAACTGTGGGTCTGGAATCGTTGCCTCCCTCGTGCCCTCCCTCTCCTTCCTTCTCTCCTTTCCTTTCCTTTCTTCCTAATCTTCAGTGTGCAGCATAGAAGTCATAATGAATGACAAATGATAGAAAAATGATAGGAAAATTAGGTGTCTCTGGCCACACGTGCTCACTCTCCCCACTGTGCAGTGGAGAGGCAAATTCAGAGGCAGAATCGTTGACTTCAGGCCCAGAATATATCAGGTCCCTTGTGGTTGGGTAATAGTGAAACCCACTTTTTGAAAGATTTCTTCTAGGCCTTTATCACCTAGTTCCCCTTTGCCCATAGTCCCTGGCAACTTCCTCCTCATTTCTCTCTGGTATTTCCGTTGGAACTGGGCAATATGGCTCCCGGCTGGATCTAGGCTTCAGAGGATCTGCTCATTGTCCTTCCCTTCCCTTCTCGTTGAAGGATTCGGAGGATGAGGAATTGTGAGCTCTTAAGTCTGCTCCCCTTTAAGGTCATGCGGAAGAAACAAAGGCCCCAGAATTCCTTGCCCAAAGATCCTGAGCCCATTCCCAGAGCCTGTGTGGGCATCCTCCCTGGGTCTGGCCTGAGTGCTGAGTTGCTCCTCTTGGATCTGAATAGGGTTAAGGGAGGCAGATTGCAGGGGGTACAGATGGGCTGGAGTATCCGTGCGCCTGAGTGGAAGCTGAACCAGGATGGGAGTAGGTGGGGAGCAGGTCATGAGCCAGAGACTGGGGCAGGTGAACATCTCCTTCCATGGCTACATTCTGGAACTCTGAGGAGCCTAAGGATGAAATTTACCAGCACTGGGATTCCACTTGCTACACTGATATTTTTGGCAAGGCAGGAAGATATAACATAATTAACAGTCTATCCACCTGATGTTAAATTGTTTTACAAATTCTAGGGTTTTTTTTTCTAATATCTTTCCCAGTGGAGATAATGTCATGGATTCCATTGAATATAATCATAATCATCAAAGTTGCATTTAATTTTTATTATTGTTATTTATTTATTTGAAAGACAGAGCTATAGAGAGGGAGAGGCAGAGAAAAGAGAGAGAGAGAGAGAGAGAGAGAGACAACTTCCATCTGCTGGTTCACTCCCTAAATGGCCATGATAGCCAAGGCCAGGCCAGGCTGAAGCCAGGATCCAGGAGCTTCATCCAGGTCTCCCATGTGGTTGCAGGGCCCCAAGCACTTGAGCCATCTTTCACTTGCTTTCCCAGGCACATTAGCAGGGAGCTGGATCAGAAATGGAGCAGCCAGGACTCAAACCAGTTTCTATATGGGATGCTGGTACTGTGAGTGGCAGCTTAACCCACTGTGCCACAGTGCTGGCCCCAAACTTTAAGTTTTTGAAGATTGATTTATGGACCAGTGCTGTGGTGTAGCGGGTAAAGCCACCGCCTATGGTGCTGGCATACCATATGGGTGCTAGTTTGAGTACTGGTTGCTCCACTTCTGATCTGGCTCTCTGCTATGGCTTGGGAATGCAGTAGCAGATGGTCTAGGTTTTGGGCCCCTGCACCCACATGGGAGACCTGGAAGAAGCTCCTGGCTCCTGGCTTTGGATTGGCGCAGCTCCAGCCATTGTGGCCATCTGGGGAGTGAACCAATGTATGGAAGACCTCTCTGTCTCTCTCTGTCTCTGTCTCTGTCTCTGTCTCTCTCTCTCTCTCTCTCTCTACCTCTGCCTCTCTGTGACTCTGCCTTTCAAATAAATAAATACATCTTTAAAAAATATTGATTTATTGATGGATTTGAAAGTCAGTGTGACAGAGATAGTGGGAGACAGGGAGAGAGACAGAGAATTTTCATCTGCTTGTTTACTTCCAAGATGTCCACAACAGCCAGGGCTGGGCCAGGCTGAATCCAGGAGCCAGAAGCTCCATCCAGGTCAGGAGCTCAAACACTTGGGCCATCTTCCACTGCTTCCCAGATGCACTAGCAAGCAGCTGGATCAGAAGTGGAGCAGCTGAGACTAGAACCAGTGCTATGCTATGGGATGCCGTCATCACAAGTGGTGACTTAAACTGCTGCTCCTTACTTATATATTTTAGATGTTTAGGTGCATGTATATGGAGGTCCATTTTGTTAGTAAAATGACACAGTCTTGCCGGCGCCGCGGCTCACTAGGCTAATCCTCTGCCTGCAGTGCCAGCACCCTGGGTTCTAGTCCTAGTTGGGGCGCCAGATTCTGTCCCGGTTGCTCCTCTTCCAGGCCAGCTCTCTGCTGTGGCCCAGGAGTGCAGTGGAGGATGGCCCAAGTCCTTGGGCCCTGTACCCACATGGGAGACCAGGAGAAGCACCTGGCTCCTGGCTTTGGATTGGCGTGGCGTGCCAGCCATAGTGGCCATTTGGGGGGTGAACCAACGGAAGGAAGACCTTTCTCTCTGTCTCTCTCTGTTTCTCTCTCTCTCTCACTGTCTAACTCTGCCTGTCAAGGAAAAAAAATAAAATAAAATGGCACAGTCTTATTTGTGGTGCCATCTATGCCCCAAACACCATCTTGGGTTCTGGCCCCCGCTGCCATTGCTGGAAGCCAGGTGACCAGATGGCCCAGCCACAGGTGTCAGCTCCACCCCCACCCTAATGGGATTTGTTGTTCCTACTTCCCTGCCTGCCCCCGGCAAAGGTATAAGAGGACTTGTTCCTGATCACGTGCCTCTCTCTCTTGATCGCTCTCTCTTAAACTCTGCTCCCCTCTCTTACACTCTCCCCCTCTCCCCCTCCCCCAACTCTGTCGGGCTTCCCCCACCTGACAATAAACCTTTCCTCTAACTCCAGTGTTAAGTGTGTTTTGTGTCAGCCTCACACGTTTGTCCTTTAACTCCTAGAACTCCAACGGTGGCTCCTCTGTTTTCTCTTTTCCTGCTTCTTTTCCCTTCTGTCTATCCTCTTTTCTGTTTCTGAGCTGTAACCCCATGACTGTTTGCTGAGGTCTGGTTCCAACCCTCACAACCACTAGTGTTACTGTTTTCCTTTTTGTTTCCTTGCCTGTGCCAGGTCATGTCCTCACCTCACCAGGTTAAGGATCCTGTACACAATGACGACTATTTCTGGAGGACAAACTAAAACCTCTCTAAGGCACCAAAGTACTTCATTTGTGAATGAGCACATGAAATGAAGGTGCTGAGTGCCAGGTGTGTCCCTTCTGTGTGTTTTTTCTGTCTGACCCACTGCCTACCTCCACATGCCTGTCCTTAGATCACTCAGCGGCGGGGAGGGTGGAGGAGGACAGGGACAAGTTTACCTGTTTAGTGAGACTTTTTTTTTTAAGACTTCTGGAATGATTTTCTTAATTCTTACCACTAGGGTTATAAGTCAGTGGTTCTCAAACATTAATATGCATCACAAATCACCTGGAGGGCTTATGCAACACTTACTGAACCCAACCTGCCAAAGAATTTCTGTGTCAGTGGATGGGAATGGGGCAGGTCCTGAGAATTTGCATTTCTAACCATTTCCCAGGTAAGAATTGTTGCTGGCCCAGGGCTCACCCTGAGAACCACTGCTGTAGGTCACCAGATTTTATTAGATTGTCCTTGTTTGAATCACTGTTGTTAATCTGAAATCACTTTGAACTTGTGGTTCATGAGCAGACCCTGGCAGAGCTGAAAACATTGCCCAAAGCAAGAAAAGTGCCTTGGGACTCTAGCTGCTAGTCCCTGCATGGACCTTCAGCCTGCTTCATTAGCAATGGCCGGGGAGTTCTCCCACAGAGGCAATTTGAACCTCAACTTGGCTGAATATGAAACAACCTTGGCCATATCCTTCCCTGCAAGCTCCTCTTTAATTGCAGAAATCTGGGTGGCCTTCACACAAGCTGTTTGTGTAGCAGAGGAAAAGAGATAAGTTTGGTAACCTTGGAAGGCCTATCTCTCTTTTTCCCAGCCTCCTGGGAAACCAGTGCCCAGAGGAACACACTGTGTGTGTGGGAAACCAGAGCAGGGCTCTGAAGGGTAGACAGGGAGGCCAAAGAGGGCGTGGCTTTTCTAAAGAATCAATGGCTGTCTGGAATTGCTTCCTGCCCCACCAGAGTTCTTCAGCTGGAATTCCCCAAGTGACAGCATTCCAAATCTCTTAGCAGACTCCATGGATGATTCTGCCTAGTGGACTGCAATGACACAGAAGCACAGTCTTGGCTCCAGCTGCTGGGTTATGGCAGCCAGGCCACAAAAAAACAAAAAACAAAAAAAAATGGCTCTTCAATTGAAACTCTTGGGGATTTGCATCTGATAGAGACAAGGAATTCTCTTCTCTGTCTTCAGGGAACCATAGGGTTATAGGAAGCTGAGCCAAGCAGTGGAAGCTTAGCTACCAGCAGGGGTGCCCAGGATGTGGTGGTCTTTACAATCTTGTGCAGATCCATAGGCCAATCAATGCCTTGCTTTTCCAGCCTCACCTCTTCCAAATGATGTTGGGGGTGGGTTGCTCTGAGCCTGCCTGGATCTCTCATGCTGTAAGAGCCTCCCTGGCCTTAGACAGTGTCAGTTTAATGATAACAGGAGTAGCAACAATAGGTGCCACTTGTTGGAGTGTGAACTTTACATTGGGATGCATGCCAAGCATTCTTCATCCATGATGTAATAAAATCTTCACAGTCATCGGAAAAGAGATTTATTATCCCCAATCTATGAGTGACGGAACTAACATTCAGGAGTTGAAGAATTTTCCCAAGATCACAGAGCTGATAAGATGAACAGCCTTCATGGAAACCCCAGCTTGTGTCACAGCCCATGACTGTATCTTTTGTATTGCTATGTCTTTATTGATGCAAGTCAATCAACATATCTACACATGCATAAATGATAATCTCAGAGGCAGGTTCTCATCTACTAAATTATTTAGTAACAGGAAATACACTTAACCAAACACTCCATTTTCCAGGCAAGCCAGTTAACTGAGTTGTTATAGTATAGTCAATACTCAATCAATACTCAATTAGTTGCATTATAGAAAGTAGCATTAGTAGAAATGAGAACTTTGAATAATCTATATAGCTGTTTTTGTGATGGGAGTTTGCTGTCTGTTGCATGGAAATTTGGTGTGAAGAACATGGCACCCCACATGAGGATTGTAGCACCTGGGAGCAAGTCTTCTTTTACTTGGATTATCTGTGGTTACATATTTCCTCAGCTTGTCCCCCAGGTCATGCCAGATTGCAGAATGTTTTCACTTCCTAGAGCAAAACCAATGCTCTTAGCTTCATCTTGTTGGCTTTGCACTGGGAATTAGTAGGCAAGCGGATGTAGGAGTGATGAGAGAAGATGATCTACGAATGTGTCTGAGAATAGCATCTGCAAACAATGATTCCTTCCTGTTACAGCCAGAAGGAGTGTAGAAATCACCAGGAAAGCTAATATGCTGTTCATATAAGAACCACGTGAGAGGCAAGCTGCCTTCAGTGCCAAGTGCAGAAGAATATCTTCAACCACCACAGAGCTTCCTTCTTTGTGGTTGGCTAAAACCTTTGCAAATGTATGGATTTTAACCTGTAATAGCATTGGGCTAGTAATTCCATGAGTTCACCTTTATTCTCCCTTTGTGAAAAGTTCACTTTCGGTAAGTCTTTTAACCTTAAAGGAGATGTCCTTACGATCAGGAATGACCCCTGGTTTTAGATTCAGAACATCTAGGTCTGAAGCCCAGCTCTTCAGTTTACTAGCTCATGGGGACTGGTAGCCAGAGTGGTAGGCCCAGTTGCCATGGGAACTCCCGCATGTTTGTGATGCATAGAACTGCTTTAAAAAAAAAAAACTACAAAATTTTCAAAATATCTGCTTGAATTAAAGAGCAAGGGAGAGAAGCTTCAAAGACCAGAGATAAAGAAGGAACACTGTGGGGAGGGCCAGTGAAGGCCACACAGCCCAGGACAGTGACACACAGGGCAGACATGTGGCTTACAGCTGATGTGGGAATGCAAGTCATCTGGCCTCATGAGTCAGATCTGGGGTCCCCAGACAAGACTGAGAACCAAAGAAAATCAGGGACAGGAAAATCTCCAGCCCACCCCTAAGAATGGCTCAGAAGTGGGATCCCTGTCCTGGACCACAGGTGGGGAGCCGGTTAACTGAGAGTCAACCCTGATTGTGTGGCATGTGATGGGTTCAGAGGACCTGAACTCTTGTGTTTCATGTGATTTGGAAAACTTCTGACATGGGAGCCCAGAAAATAACCTGAAAATCGACCATAGGGTCACTTCTGAATTATGTACAGATTAGCTCACTGACTACTGCGACGGCCTTCCCTCCCAGTCTTGGACATGTAGCCTCAAAGCACACAGGAGCTCCGGGGGAAGCCTACAAGGCCTGTGGGGGCAAGCCGCACTGCTTGTTTTCGTGTCCAGCTCTGAGGGCTCAGATCACAGCTTCTCTTTTCTCCTTACATTCCCTATCCTCCGAAAAATAGCCACAGCCAATCCCCATTTTCCTGGGGAAGCCTTAGCACCTATATTCAGACATTCGATGCTAAGATCCGGAGTAGAGAGAGCCACAAAGACATGAGGTGCTGGATGAAGAGGTGAGGGTTCCCCTGGTGGCAGTGGGAGGCATTGCGCTCCAAGTAATCCTGGCAGGGCTCTGCAGTCCAACCAACATCTCCCCCAAGACTCTGCTCGTTTTGCCTAAAATTGTACCTTTGGTTCTGCTTTTACCATGAGGTTGTCCTTATTTATTCCCACATGGAAGTAATAGCTCCCTTCTCCCAAAGTCTCACACCTCTGTACCTAATGGTATTTCTCTCTCTTATTGTATAGTTCTGCTTGTGCACACGACTCATTTCCCCCCCTAGTAATAGGCGCCTTGATTATAAGGCTAGGTGTCTTTCCAAGGAACAACACTTCCTCTTTCTTTGAATTTCCAAGTTCTACAGAGTTATAAGAACCACACAAACAAAAACAACCACATTTCCCCCATTCTATTTTGAAATCATTCTCTTCCTTCTGTTTTGGTACCTTCTGGGACATTGCCTGTTCCCAGGTGATTCATATCCTCTTCAGGGAAGACTTTCTTATTATCTACAATGGTTAATAGAAATACCATAGGGATTGGCCATATATTAAAATAGATAGAATTGTGTGTGTTGGGGTGCGTGCATGTGTGTGTGTGTGTGTATTCTGGGATCAATTTATATCAATCTTCCTCTTGGAATAAAGGGGAGAGAGGGCTGAGCTACAGGGACCCTCAGGTCTTGCTCCAAATGTTACTGAAACACCCAAAACCTACCTAAAGTAAGTGAGAAAAGACAACCTGTGTCTCAAAGGCGACAGCTGTGCCCCACCCCTTGTGTCGGGCAGGACAGAACTTTGATCTTCTCTTTGGGATTACTCACTGTTGACTTCTCACAAGTTTCTGTGTCTGCCTTTATCCCGTTTCTCACCAGCAATCAGCCTAGCTTCTACCAGCCAGACACTCCCTAAGCTAGAAGGCAGCTGCAGAGACGGGGATGAGAGGACGAGTTCAGAATGTGAGGCCAGAGTGGCTATGGGGTGTTTTAGCAGGGAGCTCCGAGCTTCTGAGACCAGAAATGCTTTCAAGGAAGTTCAAATGGATAGGGAATTTATTATAAAGATGCAAAGGAATGTCATGGAAACATAAACAGGAAGTGCAGCAAGGTCCCCTGGGAACTGGGAAAATCACTGGCAGAGCCGGTCTTCCATCCTTATCCCCCCTCCCCACTTTCTTTTTCCTTGCAAACCCTCTTCCTGACTCATAGAAAACTCAGGAGGTCCCCACAGCTCTCAAGAGACTGTCCTCATCCCAAGCCCACATGCCCCCTTCCCAGAGCTATCTGAGCCAATCCCTGGCTCCCAATCCCAAGTCTCTGAACAACCTTTCTTGGATCAAGTGCCGACCCTTGGTCTAAGACTGTGTCCAGGAGTAAGGGTAGGAGCTGAGAAGTTGAGAGTAGGAGGGAGCAATTGCTGAGGGGTAGATGAGTTGGAAAAGCTGTTTATTAAAGAGATGTGAATGGGCAGAAAATTTTGAGTCTTGATAGAAATACGCAAGGCCAGGATGTACTGCAGATCAGACTGAACACGAGTCAAAGCCGTTCATCCATTTGACTCCCATAGAGGAAGCATTAACAGTGAGTCTGACTGGCCCGGAAGCCTACTTTCCAGGTAGTGGTGAACTCCTGGGGACCGACTGAGGACGGCGTCTTTGGAGTGATCCTGGCAGCAACCTCTTGTTGGACAGCTGCCAACGGAAGAACCTTTGTCTTCAGAGAAAACAGTTTATTGCCGGGCCTGATTCACGGATCCTCCATTTGGAAATTATTTGACTTAACAGTTTCTTATCCACTTTCAGTTCAAGAAAACAATCTGTGTTTCTCAGAACAGTCACTCCCCAAAGCAAGTTTCTGAAGGTTTAGCAGCGATTCTCTTAGTTTATCAGGGACTGGTAACTTCAGAATAAAATGGGAAAGCTTTGGACCGCATCAGTGCATAAGAGTGGCAGTGCACCTGTTTCTGTAGGTAGTTTCCTGGCCTCTTCTGCAATCACACGAGGAGACTCTGTCTTGACCCATAATTCTTCCTGAAGTAGCTGAATCGCAGTGTCTTTCATACTGTTTGTGATGGCATGAAGGCTGGAAGGCAATAATAATCTTAGTGGAAATGACAGTAAGAACGGCAGTCACTAGTGTTTCAGTGACCAGTCATCGGGATTCCCTAACATTTTACATACATTACATTATTTAGTCCTACACAGTGCCCAACAGCCTAGTCAGGTCAAAGCCACTTGAGGGCCTTATATCTGTAAGATGGTCTCATTAACTAGCTTTTGTTTGTGTTAGAATGTCTTTGCTAAGTAGTCCAGCAGTTATTTCTATCACTGTTTACAAATTAGTATCTTCCTACAGCTGCACAGAGTGAAATGAAGACTTGTTTGGGGCTAGGTACCCTCCCTGCTAATTCAAAGCAATACATGATGTTTGTCCTATTAAGCTAGAAGCATGATCAGTATCCTGCAAAATCAAGGAAAGGCAGGAGGAATCTGTGGCTAGCTGTATATAAAAATCAACACGTGAGTGCTAATAAGAGGCATAAAAACAATAATAATGAGGCTACTTTTTTCTTCCACACAACATAAAAGCAGCAGATATTTAAGGCCAGCATTCCAAAGCACTGCAGTCATTCTTTAATGGATTTAAATAATAAAGAAAAAGAAATTTATCACTGCTAATAAAAATACTGTTTATGATTGCCCACTCATAAAAATTGCATTATTGATTACTTTGTTCTAATAAATATTTTACATTTCATTAATATTTACAGTGGCATTAACCATGTAACCAAAGTTATAGTGTCTATATAACTTTGAAATAGGGGCAATACTTGTTTTCTCAGCAATGAGTTTTATTTTCTATTTCCCCTTCCTTCTTAGCTCAAATGCTGTGGTTGCCTGATTGTTCAGGAGTCTTGCCTTCATCAGAGTACAAAGGCAGTGGCACGCCACAGAAAGCACAAGGAGTTTGGGGTTGGACAGGCCAACTTTCAATCTGGGCTCTGTAACTTACTAGTTTCTGTTCTTGCTCAAAACACTTAGACTCTTTGAGTTTCAATTTCCTTGTTTGTTAAATGTGGATAACCGTGATCTGCCAGGAATGGGATGAGAATGAAATAAAGTAAGCAAAATATTTGGTATAGCAGGCATTTTAGAAAGTTTTCATTTCTTATATTATGTAACATTTTATAAGCAAGAGTTTCCAAGAAACTCTTGCAAGAAAAAATTCCTTCTGTTTTATGGAGATTTTTCAAGAATCTTTTCAAAAGATATTACTGCTTTCTTGGTTCATGCATAGAGTACACAGTGATATTTTTCTTCCTTTCCCTGTTCACTCTTTTATTCAACTATTCACCAGACACATGGGGACTTTTTATTGTCTTAGAAATATGTGAGAAAAAGAGATGCAGGTAGATATGAAGAGGTGGGGTACTCTTGATGCCATAATAACATTGGGAAATTTAGCTTTTTTAAAAAATAGATATAAAAATAAATACAAATTTAAAATGTCGTGAGGACACTGGTACAAATCCAGGCAGATTACCTGGATTGGGGTATAGGTGTGTTAGTTTAAATCTTTAACTTTCAAGAGCAAGTCTTGCTACATTTGGCCAGTTTTCAGAGTCCTTGGGACTCCTGGTTGGTGAAAGATTTTCGGAGTCAACTTCTAAAACACTACTGAAGCAAAGAGTTGGGGAAGGAGATTCTCTGTTGTTTTCATTGTAGCAGCTGTAAAGGTTAGTTGTTGGAACAATAACTTGGCATATGAGGAATCTTGCAAAACTTCATGAAAAAATGAATATTATGAAAAATTATACATAGATTTCAAAATTTGCTAGCACAAAAATAAGCTTATCTTTCAATTACATTTTTCCCACAAGCTTTTTGAATTACCCTTTTAATACCTATGTCATCATTAAAATACTCATGATTTCCTGTTGTCCCCAGTATAGTTCCATGTCACTGCATGCATTAATATTTCAAATTCTGTCAATCCATTTTGCAGATGACCTTACTGAAAGTGATGAAGATCTGTGTTGGCAGAATGGTTGAAATGGCCAATGGGAAACCAAAGATGACACATTGTGCACAGAGAAGAGTGATGCTTTACCGCACATCTGTAGTCACTGTTTTTGAATGTTGAGTTCAACAGATAGTGCAAACGCTTGGGACTAGCGAAGACCAGAAGAATTTTCTTCACTCTTCTTTGCTGTTCCATCAAACCAGGCCATTGACTGTTAGTTATGGCTCCAGGTCAGAGAGGAGTAAGCAGTGCCTTTGCTTAAGCCTTTAAGAATGTTCTGCCTTCTCTTGTTTGCATTTTGAAGAAACAGTTTCAAGGCACCTATTTTTAAAAGAACAAACTATTACATAGTTGAGAATGATTTTTCAGACCTTTCAAGTCATGGGGCCTGTTTGGTCAGGATGTCTAACAGAACAAGCTTCTCTGTGGGAACTGGGTCTGTTGCCTTCTTGCCTTTTAAAGTCATTAACAGCACACTACGCAATTTGGAATATCCTGCCCGTGACTCAGCTAAGTTTTATTGTTTTGTTTATTTTCCTTTTCATCTTCAGCTTCTTCCTATTTGAGGAATTTAAAAACCTTCTTCCTAAAAGTTTGTCCACTGCAGTTGGATTTCAGCAACCTAGGGAAAGTTTCCTTCGTTTGGGCAAGTTCCATTAGACAACTGGTGAGGGTGTCTCACCTGACTGTGAATGGGCAAGTTTTTCACCTGGGGTCACACACTCACAGAGGGTCCATTAGAGTCTGGGGTTGATCCTTTCAACAGCGGACATAGATCATAACAGAAACCATAGGAAATCTGGCAAGTATCCATAGCCTTTCAAATTTTCATGTTTGTCTTTGGCTCTTAAGTGTTGGGAAGTTCCAAATGATCAGGGTGGAACAAACTGCTGGGGAGGAGCAATGGCGAGAGCATTCAAGAACAGTAGGTCTTAAGTCTGCACTGGAGCAGTGGAAAGGACAAAGGGCTGAGGGTCAGGAGGCTCAGAGCCTCAGCTTGGCACTGCCATTGATGAGAGAATGAAATGAATTGCATCTCTCCTGGCCTGCAGTGCCCTCACTCGTGTGACAAGGGAGGCTGTCCATTCCAAGGAACAGCCAATCTTGATCTGGGCTGAGTTAATTCACTGCCTGTGATGGTCAGTAAAATTGTTCTGGGATATGGACACTGCCATTTTTGTCTTGTTTTGTGTTTAAAGTTTTATTTATTTATTTGAAAGGCAGAGAGAGAGAGAGAGAGAAAGAGAGAGAGAGAGAGAGAGAGAGAGAGAGAGAGAGAGAGAAAGAGACTTATTCTATCTACTGATTCACTCCCCAAATGCCCATGGCTGGATAGCTGGTCCAGGCCAAAGCCAGGAGCGCAGAACTCCACCCCTGCCTCCCATGTGGGTGACAGGGGTCCACTGCCTTCCTACATGCATTATCAAGAAGCTGGATCAGAAGTGGAGCAGTGGATTTGATGCCGGTGTCACAGGTGGCAGCTTAACCCTCTGTACCAATGCCGGCCCCAGCTATTTTGTTTATCCGTTGCCTATGACTGCTTTCCTGCTACAAAGGCAGAATTGCCCCAGAAAGCTTATGGTCCAAAAAATCTAAAACGTGTGTAATCTGCTCCTTTACAGAAAATGTTTGTGCAATCTTGGTCTGATGGATTTCTACTATCCAAACTCTACACTCTGTAATTTCTCTATATCTTGAACTTAGTATTGAACTGCTTCTTTAAGCACGCTATATGAACTATGTTCCTTGTTATCTCACAAATTGGGTAACTTTTTATTTTCACTCTGAAGGCCAAGATACACATACTTGACAATAAATATAACTTGAAGCCAAAGAATCGGATCTTCCAGGAAAAGGTAAACAAGATGGAAGATGATTGATATGAAAGGTGAGGACTTGGACTTTAGTGAAATGGGAGAAGGGTTATCAGACATATCAGGCTGAGTTACCCAACTCCCTCCCTCAGAATTCTTCAAGGGCAGTGGCTGAGTCTGACACATATTGAAATGGGTTGTGTAATGGGGAAGTTCCCACTCAGCAATGGTAATGGAATGAAGCTGGACCAGCTGGTTGGCGGGGAAGGGGTTCCCTTTGGGAGATGTTATTGTGATTCATCCATGTGGGTTGATGTTGTGAGCTGGGGAGGAGAGGGAGAGAGAGAAAGAAGACAGGGAGGGAGGACAGGGATGGGCAATGTCCCGGTGGGATAAGCATTGGCCATGGCCAGGGCTCTCAGGCACTGTGGGGTATACAACCACCCCAGTAGCTTATTTGGAAGCCAGTTACTTAAAGACAAAGCAGAGTTTCCTACAGAAAAAGTACTCTAAGAAACAGCAAGAAGGATGGAATTGGTTTTTAAGAAAAATGTATAGATATACAGTGCCCCTCTTTGTATGTAAATCCTAGCAAGTCCTGGAATGCTCACTAAAAATTTCTGCTGAAAAGAGTATATTTCTTTTTCCTTCTTCTCAGCCTCGAGTACTGTTACTATGGATTCATTCTGAGAGGAGGAGCATAGTGGGGGCAAGAGGCACGGTGTCACCACACAGACACTGGGAGTCAGGTGAAAGTGGGCCAGAGGTGAGCAGCCCTCAGACTCGTTTATTTCAGTTGGTACAGCAGCCTATATAGCCAAGGCAGCCAATCTGGTCACGGGGCAGTTTATGTCCTAACCAATCACAGCCTGTTGCCAGGCAGGTTCTGTTGCCAGGTGGGTTTTGAAGCCATTCCTGAGTAACCGACACTTGTTTGCCAGCAGCCATCTTAGCACGGCCTTCTCATTCCACCACAGAGTACAGTGTCCTTCATGATTTGTTCCTATCTCACCTCTCCAGCTTCACCACTCATCTCTGTATCTTTGCTGGCCCCTTCCCAGGCACTCTGAGCCATTCTACTTCCTTTAACATAGCAGGCTAGCTATTTCTTGTCCAGTTTTTCAATGAGTTTGGATTTCCTCAGAACCACTCCTTGAGATGAGGATTTGAGTGTCTCTAGTTCAGTTGGGAGATAATGCCAAATGAAACAAAAATCAAAATGTTAGGGGAGTAAGGAAGTGATACAGAAAAGAGAAGGTGAAAAATAAAGGAATCGTCAGGAAACAAGTTAACCCTGGCAGGTGATAGAAATTTGGCTCCTTGGTGAATCTGGTAGCCAGAACACACCAGGCCAGGGTTATCTTGCCTGAGGGTGGTGAGGAAGCTGGAGTATTCATACATCAAGCCCATTAGTCAGTGACAGAAGGCTCCTCTCAGGGAGGGGAGGGAATGAGTTCATTGGCGTGTGCAGTGAATTTTGGGGCTGAAGAAAGCACTGTGGCAAGGAGCATGGATCCTGGCGTGGGGAGGAATGTTGGCCATAGTCGGGGGAGGAGCTGAGGGTGACTTTTTTTTTTCATATCTCCTCTTAGATTCTCAGATTTGAAAGGCGCTGGAGCTGGAAAAGCCGGGTATGAGGGAGGGCAGGGTGAAAGCAGCTGGAAGCTGGTTGTGCTTTTCCTGCTCAGGGAACTGTAGTGCAGCGCCTCCTTGTCAACCACTTTGAGCCCTCTTGTTCACGGCGGCTGTGGAGCCATCAGACCCTTACCTGGAGGATCAAGGATTCAAAGGCAGGTGTCCTCCATGAGGACCCGCAGTAAGCTGTGTCGCCTTTTGAAAATCTGCCCTCTGAAGTCACACACTGTCACGTCCACTGCAGTGCCCAGCACCACAGATTCAAGGAAGGGAGTGCAGATCCCCACCACTCCAAGGGGCAAGGGGCAAAGTCATGTTCTGGGAAAGGGAATGTCGTTGCAGCCGTTCCCAGAAAATGCCGTCTTCCGTGCCCTTGTCCTGGTGATGTTCCGGAGATGCTTTTATACATTTTTCTTCACATACGAACATTTCACTTCACATGGAGACACATCCGATTTCTCAGGGGACTTTTGAATATTCCTGGGTCTCTTAATGGTCAGAACTTCGGTTTGGTTTTAGCAGGAGTCTCATTATTCTACCAAAGCTATTGAACATACTTAGAGCTCACTCTGGCATCGAAACTGACTTGGGATATGTTTTAGCTTATTTCCATTTACAAGATGTGTCATACAATGAACACTTTCAATTGACAGTGTAACAAATATCACTAAAGGTAGAAACCATAAAGAAAAAGACTGACAGGTTGGGCTTACAGATAAATTTAAAACTTCAGCAATCAAAGATATTATAAACCAAATTTAGTAAAGTTAAAAATGAGAAACTTCTGCAACATTAAAAAATACTTGGTATTCTTAATATATGAAGAAAGTTTACAACTAAATTGAAAAGGCTGAACAGTCCAGTAAAGGACATATGGGCATATTAATAGCTCATCTTCAAGGAAGAAACACAAATGATTAGGCCATGGGGTAACAGCCCCACATACTGCGGGAGGCAGGATGAAAGGGAATAATTTTCCTGGAGGACAACATGGCAATAGTCATGGGAAGTGTGAAAAGACACACAGTGTGCTCCAGCAATTCCTCCTCTAGGGGCTGATTCTGTGGACACCAAGGGGCATGAACACAAAAATGCCTGGACATGACTTATCCCCACTGTTGTTTATTTGGAACTAATAGTGATGGTTAACAATGGTATACTTTGCAACCTTAAGACAGGATAGATAGATGATGATAGATACACAGATGATAGATGATAGATAGCTGTAGATGGATAGATAAGTGATCGATCCACAAAAGGAAAGATATTTGTAATATCTTTTTATGTGAAAGCACATGCAACAATTTCAAAACTGCAAATATGATTTATGCCTTTGTGTGTGCATGTTATATACCTCCAGGAGAATATCTCCATGTGTGTACATATCTCCAGGACAAACACCGGATGAAGTGCCATGCATCTGTCACCAGAGGTTACCTTTGAAGAGTATGATTCTAGAGGTTCTGCATTAATTTTTTTTTTGGACAGGCAAAGTGGACAGTGAGAGAGAGAGAGACAGAAAGAAAGGTCTTCCTTTGCCGTTGGTTCACTCTCCAATGGCTGCCGCGGCCGGCGCACCGCGCTGATCCGATGGCAGGAGCCAGGTACTTATCCTGGTCTCCCATGGGGTGCAGGGCCCAAGGACTTGGGCCATCCTCCACTGCACTCCTGGGCCACAGCAGAGAGCTGGCCTGGAAGAGGGGCAACCGGGACAGAATCCGGCGCCCCGACCGGGACTAGAACCCGGTGTGCCGGCGCCGCAAGGCGGAGGATTAGCCTAGTGAGCCGCGGGCCCCGGCTAACTGCATTAGTTTTAGCCAGTGTATTCTAAAACTTCTTTAAAATGAATATTTTCATATTATTTTTCAACATTTTGTATATAAACATGACATTAAACCTTTGAAAAATGCAAGTATAATTAAATAAGGATATATATAAATATTCCAGTTGTGAAACATATAAAACATTACATTTATATTTAAATATAGTTAATATTAAATATTAAATATAATTAATTATATTTAATTGTATTTATATACCATGAATATAAATAAATAATATATAATATACATATAATAAGTAGAAATACACAATATGAAGTAAGATCTCCTTCCCCATTAAATTTCTTTCGGAAAAAAATTAGGCCAGCTTCTTCCCCTTAGCTATCATAAACACAACCCAGATATGGCTAAATATGCACAACAATCAACTTGGTATCCGAGTGCAGTTTAACAACCGCCCATCATCTCGGTTGAATGGGCTCAGGCACAGTCAGGAGACCAAGGGGCAGCAGCAGAGTCAGGGTGTGGCCCCCACTAAATGCCCCTGCCCGGAAGCAGCCTGATGCTTGGCTGGTCACATTTTAGTCCTGAGCCTGAGGCTCCATCAGGGAGTGTGTTGTTGACAGAGCGGCACAAACACCCTGAAAGGCATGGACAGCTTCAGCGGGACTGGGCTGCTCTGGTCAGTCAAAGGCCAGCCCAAGGGCACCGCTTAAATGGAAACCTTAGGTGACAAAATCCATATTCCCAAGGGCGGCAGGTGTGAGATGCAAGTCAAATTGCTCACTCGATTCGATCTGAGCTGCTTTTGTGAAGCTTCCAGCAGTCAGTAACAGTTAAAGCAAGCTTTTCTTCCTTCTCACTTATCCCCCTGCTTTCCCATTTACGGAGCTTACAAGGAAAAGAGTCTGCCAGTGAGAATTTCCCTTGACTGTTGCACTATCGCCTGCAAAGCGCATGGTGGGTTTGCCGATAAGAATCTGTTTGTGCAGGGAGTCTCTTCTGAGGAAATAGGATTTTACTGCCTGCTGATTGCGAAGGGGCCACTTGCGTCCCACAGAAAATGCAGGTTTGATCATCAGAATCCTCTGGCTTCTCTGTCCCCTGATCTCCTCATGCATATCCAGGACACGGCCAATTTCTCCGGCCTCCATTCTCCTCGAATATGAAATGAATTTAGAAGAAATACTCTGATGATAATATTAGAGGAAAGAAATGAGACATTTTCTAGATGTTTCTATCTCATTACACATCACCAAGAGACAATGGTGTGGTTTAAAAGAATGAAGACATACAGAGTTTCCTAGATTTTTGGGGAAGCACTGAGCTATTAGGTGAAAAGGGCTGTAGACACACAAAGCACTGAGTTGTGTGCTGCTAGTACTAAGAGAGGGGTATTTTTGCTTATAGCTTTAGGTACTTTGATTAGTTGTTTTTGCTGATGTTTTCCAGTCTTGCCCATCACATGCATTGGGAGGACTATCTTTTGTAGCAACGTGTAAGTTGTAAGCAGCACTGGGCACTGGCTCTCCTAGACACTCCCCTAGCTCTGAACCACCCACGTCTCATGATACCGGCCCACTCTTTGGCCCTGTGCACCAGCAAAGGGCGGGAGAGTGCAATGACAAACAAGCTGGGCTGTGGACCCTTGAGTCTGAGAATCAGTTTAAATGACCAGCTCGCTCACGTGAGCAAGCTCCCTAGTCTGTCTTCTCACTGATAAAATGGGGACGATGCAGTGGGATACCGGTCTACTCCAGAGATGGACTTGGATGCAGGAAGTGCGATGAAAGCGAGACTCGATTATCAGTCTTGCAGGATCCAGTGTCTGATGAGCACACCCACCCAGGGCAGTTACAGCAATGTCCTACCACGCAGGTCCCTCCCCTCATTCCTCATTGACCAAGTATTATGGGGTGTACAATCTCCCCAGACATCACCTGAGTTACAAAGCAACCTTCTTCTTTTTTCCTCTGTGCTTTATTTTCCCCTGGTAAGGTGCCTACGCCATAGCATGCTGTTTGCCTAGAAAGTTTTGCTACATCTGCAAGTCAGCTAACAATCATTTTCCATTCTGTGTTGAAAATGCACCACCAGGCATTTTCTTATCTTGTTAATAACACTTATCTCACAGAACTGTGTGAGGATGAAATAAAATCATGAATATCAAGTTCCCAATACAGTGTCAAGTACACAGTAGACATTCTCTAAGTGTTCAGTATTGAAAGCTCTTTCCCACACACCAAGACAAACGGCCTCACTCCCACTCATCCTCTCTTCCTGCTGTCTTTCTGCACCCCCGTGACATATTCCCTGCACATGTGCCACAGCAAGAAAATCCCCACCCTTGAGCTTTTCTGTCACACATGTGCTCTCCCTCCCAGACAGTAAACCCCATGGAGGCAGAGGACTGTGTCTTATCTTTGTGTACAGAAATATTGAACAGTGCGCTTTGGACTTCTGACAGGACATGGAATCAGGGGATAGAGAATCAGTTCTGCATACATCTCAAAGAGCAGTCTTCCAAACAGAGATGAAAACTGATGCCCAGAGAAGGACAATGACCTTTCCAAGGACACTGAGGCTGGAACAGGTGTCCCTCTGCCTGGCAGTGGGATCCCAGATTGCCTCTCTGGGCCCATTTCTCATTGCCCAATCATTCAGTCCACCAAGTGATTGGTGCTTAGAATATTTGCAGCCCCCTCTGCTCTGGGGTTTGATCCAGGGGCTCTAGTTTCCATAAACAGAATGACTTTGGAGGTGGCGGTATGCCACAGTGAGCTAAGCTGCCAGCACCCTGTATCGGAGCATTGATTTATCTCTTGGCTGCTCTGCTTCCTATTCAGCTCCCTGCTTATGTGCCTGGGAGGACCTTGGAAGATGGCCCAAGTGCTTGGACCCTTGCCATCCATGCAGAAGACCCACATGGAGCTTTAGGCTCCTGGCTTTAGCCTGGAGCAGCATTATAGACTTTTGGGGAGTGAACTAGAGGATAGAAAATCTCTCTCTGCCTTTTAAATAAATAAATGTATTTTTTAAATCTTTAAAAACAAAACAAACAAAAAAAACAAAAACTGTGACTTGTTATTTGGCCCTGGCTGGCTTCAAGTGGTGCACAAGGCCAGATGCGTGCTAGATTCTGAGTCCCTGCCCCTCAGCCATGTGGATCCTGGGACAAGCACAGTCCTTGGCACCACTGGGCTTGGTCTGCAGTGTGGTGCCAGGCTGGTGCCACATCACGTTTGCCAGTTCCCTAAATCAGGAAAGACTCAGGGCAGCTGCTGGTGCTGCCAATCAAGGTTTAAACTTTCCATCCCGACTGAGCAAGCCTTGGTCTCCTTGCTGTCTTCCAAATTAAAACAGCCAAGTGGTTAAAAAAATCATGCTTTGCTTATTTCAGTGGGTTTAATTTATTATGTATCACTTTTCTTGGGTTTTTTATAAACTTGCCTGAAGATTTTTTTTAATTCTTCAGTTTAAATCCTGGCAGAATGTTCCCTCTCCTTTGGCAGAGTGTTGATTAGCTAAAGAAAGACTGCTTAGCTAAGATTTTTTTTTTACAGATTGCTCTTGCACTTTAATAAAAATGATATTATAGTCATTATCACCACCATTAATTAGTCTTTAGTGATCAGTAATGTGGTGCCCCACTTGAGGTGCCATTAAAACATCAGCTTCCTTTGCTTCTCAAGGCTGGAAAACAACTGTTCTCAGGTTTCCCACCCGGAACACTATTTCTCTAGGATGGTAGAGAGCTAGAGGGTGATTCTTCTTTTGTGCCCGTTTTGCCACTGAGACCAACAGAATGACGTCTTCCTTCTGAACTCCTTCTCACGTCTTCCCCCTGTGCTGCTTCT